ATCCGCGCAGTCTGATCAGGATCCATGCTGTTCGCTATCAGTTTCTCTACTTGTCATACGGTTTGTAAGCGAACAGCATGGATCCTGATCAGACTGCGCGGATGCGCAGGCTGGTCTGGATCCATGCTGGTAGCAAACCCATTATGTTGGTTTTTTCGTGACGCGGCTCATATATATGTATATGTATCTTTATTTACATTTCACAAACAAATGTACATACGTGTGCAATTTACACTGCAACAACTGTTCTTTTGTTTCATGTTAAACTTTAAAAGAGGATATTTACATTATTCAAACAATTCACCGGAAATTATTTCAAGACTATAAAAGAAACATAAATGTGTAAATGTATATCTAAATTTCTATTGCTTATTCAAATTTATACTTCAATTATTTCCCGCTTGTGAATGAGATAACTAGCAGATAAATGTAAATTTTTAATTACGGTATTCATTTACATATTATTCAATATTAGTTTTTATAATTCAATACTAATTATTGATTTTAATACATGTTTTTTTTGTGTAATTCTATATCTCTTGTGCATTTTTCCGTAAGTCTATAGTACTTTTGTAAACACATACAGGCGCGTATGGAGGCTATTCGTTGCCAAAAATCCAGCCTTTGTTACTGAGTTAACATTTTTAAAGGAAAAATAAAATTTGTATTTTTTGTATTAAACCCAATTTTTGCATATTTGGTTTGATTCCGTTTTAACATTTAAACATCTTTTAAACAAAATACTTTTTGAAACGAAAAACAAACTTATAGCAAAAATTTTCGAATACCAAAACAGAATTTACATTCTTAGCTTTACAATGTCGAACCATCATGATTCAGATCAGCATAATCCAGCTTTACGCGTTTTTCAATAGAAGATAAAATAAGCTCCGCCCATTTTCCCGCCCACTAAATCATCGTAAATAAACGTGTTTATCCGCTCATTTTCGGTATTTACCGTCGGCGACAAGAAGCGGCGTAGTTTCCGTTTTAGGTGTTTAGTTACTAAACATAATTCACTTGCATGATTGCCTACAATCAACATCAGCGGACTTTAAAGGAATATAGGCATATAAGTTTTAAAACGTTGTAGACACCACATTTCCTGGAAAAAGACACTTAAAAAAACCCAAAACACACCAGGTTACATACTGTCTGAGGTTAAATATTTTTCAAGGAAGTGAAAACTATTGAAAAGACTATATTCAACGACAAATAAATTTTACTGATGGTATTCCAATTTGCATAGGAATGAGTAACATTTACAGTTAAGCTGCTACCTTACCACTTTCAAATTTTCAAGTCAACATCTGATAGAGATTTTGATACGACTAATTACTAATACAGACCAAATTCTGGTTGTTGTCTTTCCTAGTAGTACTATTATATTAGTAACCTTAATTCTAGCGTATGACTTGACAAGAAAAAAAAACCTTTAACATAGTAAAATTATAACCAAAGTTGTATGTACCCTTTCGTACATACCTTTTTATTTTTACCATATATTTTCCCATTTTTCCCATTTTGTTTTTCAATAAGTAAAATTTAAATGAGTCCAAATGTATGTATGTTGATTATCAATTTATGTATACCTTGTTTATTTTATCTCTTAGAAAGCCATCACTTACAAAACGTAATAAATATTCTGTGTAGTATTTCATGTACATAAAAGTAGTTCTCTGTTTTTGATCATATAGACAGCAAATCTAGACAGCAAATCTAGTTAACAGCTATTGACAGCATGTATACACATATTTTAGGGGTGCTATTGATTCAGCACAATGCATTAAAAGACCTTAACCTACGCCAGCTTACATATATTTAACAATAAAAGGCTAAATCACATCCTATGACTCAAAATACCTCCCAATGGAGGTAAACAGAGTTGCCAGGATACACTGAATATTTATTTCAACATTAAAATGGGACAAATTCACAAGTTTTGGTTATACAACGGAATTATCGATAGTAAACTTTGCATTGTTTCGTGGTTATACACTTGGTCAAAAATATGAGTTTTTCTACAACCAAACATAGTCCTTTAAAGAAAGAAGGCACAGGCTTATTGTTTCTCTTTATTTGTGTTGCCAAAAGTGCCTTCCATGTATCGCATTCTAGTACTATTTGCTGAAGGTAAAAAAAAAAGATATGCTTAAGAGTATTGCCGTGGCTAACAAAACCCTACCATTGATAACAATGACTAGTGGTGCGTGTCAATATATATGGGAAAACATTTCCTTATGTTATTTCACCAACTTTAGTTTGTGCATATTATTATGCTCATTATCAGTATATACGTTGTTACATTTTTACAATATATCTTAACCAATTTTGCATTACTTGAATATCCTGTACTAGAATACGTTTTAACAAAATCAGAGGATGTTCAAAGTCAAGATTGATGTAACAGTTTCTATACAATTTGAAATATTTTTGTACCAGCAAGAGTAACCTCTCTTTATATTCTGCTTTCGTGAAATTGGCTCCGCCTATTAATTTTCGTCTATTTCCGTGATAATTCCATATATGGAAGTTGCAAAATCGTTTACAAATGTTAATCGCGTTAGAATGTAAAAGGAAAGTGTGGTGTTGTAAACCTGAGTGTGTCAAGTTGATGCAGTTACATTCTCAACGTCATGATGCACATCATTAAACGTATTGTGTACGTTCTATCGTTTACATTTCTACATGTCGCAAATTTGAAGTTATACATTTATAAATACAGTTTGCAATTTATCTAAGTTGCATGTTAACAGCTATCATTTTATCAAATCGAGATAATCAAAATGCTTAATACCAGTGCAGTATGTAACTCTCGGATCGACAATTAGATTTTTACTAATCTGTTTAGTAGAACCGAAGTATGCATTGTCAAGTTTCAAAGGCTGAATTTTTGGCAACGAATAGCCTCTATAGGCGCGGTGCACTTCGGTTACATACAGGTACCTAATTCTATTGCAATTATTGAAACAGCGGCAATGCGCGGGAGGAAAAAACAACATTTTATGCAGCATATCGGAGGATATTAAAGTAGGTAATGTATTACACACTGCGTTCACTAGTTGTTACGTTTTTGTAGTTATTTCTCACTCAGTCTGGAAGTAGGACTTGATCAGCGACCTTATCGCTTTGCTTTTAACACTAAACATGTTTAAATGTGCCTGCGCGTGTATAATGAGCGTTTGAAGCGTAAAAATATAGAAATAGACTGATCAATATTATTAACCTAATCAAGTAAACTATCTTTTACAAGTTTATAATGATCTGTACGAGTGATTATTGGGAATAAACACTTATAACATGAATTTGCGGTCATGCGTATACAAGAGTATATACATGTAACACTATAGATACTTCACACGGAAGCTATAGCTTGTTTGACAGTAATACATAGGTTATACACTAAATATAGGTGAAACTGTTTAAAATTTTGAATTCACCCTTTTCAGGGAAAACAAAAAAATTTAAAAAGAAAAAAGGAACAAATAAGTTAAACCCAGAAGCGCCTAAAGGGGGAGGGGGTTGGGTGATTTTTTTGGGTTTTTTATTGTAAATGTCAATGGATGGGGAATTTGGGCAGGGATATTTTACCCAAAACTTAAGACATTTGCGCGGGTCCGTTTGTAAATCCCCTGGCTGGGTACTTTTACCGCAGTGTATATATCTAAAATAAGTCTAGATTTTTTTTTTTTTTTGAAAGTTGTTTTTGTAAGTACCCCAATTTAACTGAAAGATACTTTTGTGTTTTTAAGAAGTATAAAACTTAAAAAATTTTATTATAATTTTTTTTATTTCTCCTGGTCAGACCCAATCGTTTCGGGGGTTTAATTTTCTGGAAGGCGCATCTCATTTTTTTATTTAATTGAACGAATTAATGGTTCCCTAGCAAAATATTCACTTAATTTAAATACTATTATGTAGCATTTTAAGTAAGGTATTGGGGTGTTTTTTGTCAAATGGATTTACAATTAGTATTCCTTTAATTTGTGTGTTTTATTCAAATGATTCTTATAAGAATGCAAACGTTTTAATTTTGCTAGCCAATTAAAGTTTTTTTCATATTTGGTAATATAACTTAACTGAAACGTATAATAAAATATTTCTTTTCAAACTTCTAATACTATTTGCTCTCATGCAGCTACTACTCTATTTCCGACAGGACAGTTACATGATTATAATCATTGGAAAACAAATACTCATACATTTTTTAGTTATTTGACATAACAGCAAAGTTTTCAGAAATATTCTGTAAAATTATTTTGATTTAAAAAATGAATGTAATAAAACTCGAAAATAACCATTGCATTGACAAGACAGTACATGTACGAAGCAATGCTGATTCAATAAGATTTATTTTGCGAGCATTATTTATGTAACTATCAAAAATCATTTTTGAATAGCATCATTTCATAGAAGCACTTTATTCTTGCGCGCTATCAGCCACTGTTTTAATATTTTTTATTTATTAAGGAGAGTTTGTACACGTGCATATCTAGTTCAAAAGGCCCATTTGGCATTTCGTTAAGCGAACAAGTCATTTAGGAAACACACGTGATGTGGATACAACTTTAAATAATATAAATAGATATTGACATATAAATACAGTGAATAAATGTAAACAAATGAAAAATAGATAGATATTTTTATTTTAAAACATGTTCTGTGCATATATTAATTTCAATGCATCAGCTTTTCTTAATGAGCATAACTTTCTCATCTTAACATTTTTAATACTATTTTATATTACTAGCAAATATGTTCAACAAAAGGTTTGGTCAAATCATTAAGCAATATTTTTCCTGTATAGAATGACTCAATTCCTGTGTCAAATATTTCTGTAAAATATGTTATCTAAGAACTGTGTCTGTAACTTTAATACAATACATGTATAGATATTCGTCCAATGCAATTTCGTATTGTACTCAGCAATGTATAATAACCTCATAGTATCGGACATTTCAACGTAGATTATGCCTCCAATATATGCATGCTTTGATCAGGCTTTTCAATGTTAAATGTCAAGTACATGCTCACCAACTAAACAAAATGCTCGTTTCATTTCAGGTCCAATAGTTGGTAGTTTAAACCTCCGGTACGGCAGCAGAACCGTTTGTTTTATAGGCGGGTGTATCGGAGCTATAGGTCTTATATTAGCGTCTTTGTCTAAAAGTATAGCTGTTTTCATGTTAACGTTCGGTGTAATTGTTGGTACGTAAAATATATTTAATTTGTTTGTTTGATTTCACGCAAATTTTAAAATATTTTGGTCATATCTCGACGGTTTGTCTACCTAATCGGCTTTCCTGAATAACTTACTAATAATAACCAATGTCTCCAGAAGTGTTTCATTACACTCCCACATAATTTCCCAGTCTGTGTTAGACTCGATGTCTGAAATCAGTTGTTATGGAGAAATTTGACCAATCCCGAGGATCGAACCAATGGTCCCTAGATTACAAATCCGATGCTTTCCCTTTTGGGCAAAGCAAGCGAACTTCATTTTATAACCTAATATCATTGTGACAATGACCTATTAAGGTGATATCATTGTGACATTTGCATAATAAGGTAATATCTTTGTAATATTGACAATATATGTAATATTGACAATATAACTAGAAACGGCAATATAACGAGATATATTTGAAATTTTAACATAGTAAGATGATATCATTGAGACATTGACATGATTAGGTGATATTATTGTGACATTGACAATATAACGAGATATATTTGAAGTTTTGACGTTTTTACATATTATTATTGCGACATTGGCATATTAACGATATATTTTTGCGATATTGACACTATAACGAACTATTTTTGTAATTTTTGACATTATAACAGGATATTTTTGTGACATTCACAAAAGAAAGTGATACAGATTCTTCTGTTGGATTTCTGCACGTGACATCCAAGTTTCACAAGTTATACCTTTTGGCCAAAATCCTGGATCTAAGACTTAATCCGCGTTTTCATTTGCTTCCACATTTAAACGGACAATAACTTTATTTCTCGATTTCCTCATCGGGAATTTACGAATCATTGTCACCGTTGCGCCCCTGCTTGTCACAAAATTAGTCAGGTATTTAATTGACACCGACTTATTGAATCCACCAACAAAATACCTTTTCGTCGGACTTGCTTGGTGCCAGTCAAAAGTATCATATTGTCGCAAGTCTCGCTCTTTGCGAGATGTAACACGCACAGGTACTGCGGTCATTTAAGGAAACGTTGACGCACGATTTGTACACAGATGACTTTCAATTGACTCGTCGGATAAGGACCTCGAACACAATAGTATGAATACACAGAACGGATGCGGTATTTCGGTCTAACATACGCTAAAAAACTAAACATGTAAACAAATAGTAATTTAATGCTGGGAGTTGTTGACAAGTTTATTTCCAATAAATGATGGTTATACAAATGGAACGGAAAAGTCGGATGACTCGTGCAAGCTCTGTCACGTTGGTGTGGAAACAGATGAATGGACACATGACAATGAAACCGGTTTGTAAATTAATTTTTAAATGTTTCAATTATCATATACGGTCTATTAGTAGAGATTTGTTTCCGAAAATCGAATTGTGATCATTCCTGCCTACCTGACATTGACATAACAATGTGATATCATCACTGAAAGTGCTATATGCGGTAAGCCCGAGAATTGTAAAGCATATGTAGATTGATTTTTCTCTCCATTTTGACACCTAAGGTACTTAAATTAACTGTTAAACCTATCGCCTGTCACACCATTTTACATACAATTTATACCGAGAGATATGTAGCCGGTTAACTTTACTTGAAACTCAACTGACAAGAATAGCCTGTCGTCTGCTAGTTCGGAAACTGTTTACCGGCTATTCAAATGCCATGAGAAATTTAGCACAATTTAAATGCTATGAGGAATTCAGTGCCATTCAAATTCCATGTGAAATTCAGTGTGCTTCATATTCCATGAGAAATTCAGTACAATTCAAATTCCATGTGGGATTCAGTGTGCTTCATATTCCATGTGAAATTCAGTGCAATTCAGATTCCATGTATTATTCAGTGTAAATCAAATTCCATGTAAATTCAACACAATTTCAATCCATGTACAATTCTGTAATTTAATATCAAATTTGTATTTATACCATGAGAAATTCAGTATGTTGCAAATCAATCCATCTCTGAATATCTGAATACTGAACAAGGTTTGAAATGTAGTCATATGGTTATATAATATGGAAAGGACGGCAGTCCAAAAATAAATTAACAGACTTACAACTAGCAGCAACAAAAAAAGCCCTTGCATGAAATACATTTACCAGCCACAGACTAACCATGTATCAAACAGAAAAATGCATCAAACAGTAAAATTCAATCTAATATGCATGTGGTTATACTGATATGTAAACAATATCAAAACAATACAACAACAATAATAGTTTATTCAGCATAAACATTTTACAAATTTTTTTAGCATATAAAGTATACATATACAAAGAGAACATGGTTTACAGAAGAGGACATCATGTAAACAAACCAAGCGAAAGTAGGTCTTGTACAAGGCAGTGATCGTTCAGGCTTAAATCACTCAGATACCGCTAAAACAACATTGCATAATCTTAAACATATAATAACAATGCGATTGATAAACTGAAAAAAGTGAAATCACATCTTATTCGTGGACAATTGCACGCTTGTTGAAAACCTCTGTCTTCGTCTTGCAGATATATTCATACGCAATACTGCTGAACTCTCAATTCTCACTTCTTCACGACAAATACTTAATAAACATTTGTAAAATAAAGTAAAATACATAGAAATAGTTGACAAGTATTTATTTGCTCACGAGACGAAGTCGAGTTAATATAATATTATGGTATAATTTACGCAAACCCAGAAATCGTCAACGCAGCAATGGTATATCTATTACATATACATATACAATTGCTGCGTTGACGATTTCTGGGTTTGGGTAAATTATACCATAATCACGTGACCTTTCTTATGCCTTGACCTCACGAGACGAAGTCGACGTTTCGTTCCGGTTCGTTTATTTTAAGCACTGTTGCTTCACAAATTAATACATCTTATTTCAGGACAAGTCGCCCCATCCGAAATAATGCAGAACAAAACATTTTGTGACCTCAATAACGTGAATATTACTTGCGATAGTAATGAGATAATTGCCATCGAATCTCTGAACTTCTATTATCATCCCGATTGTTTAAATATGTGTTGTCGCTTTCATAATAACCACAGTAGTGTTGGAGCAGACGACAACGATATGCAGGAAATTCGTCGCGAATGTTCAGGAAGGCAAAGCTGCAGCGTAGACAAAGCTGGACCACGTTTTTTTGAAATAGTTGGTAATGAAACACCTTCCTACGCTGTACTGCATTATGCTTGTATTCCAGGTAAGTCAAAGCCGTTTTGGTTGTAGATATTGTTGTTTTTTTTGTTGTTGTTTTGTTTGTTTGTTTTGTTGTTGTTGTTTTTTTGGTTTTGTTTTTTCATTTATAAAATATTATCGATTTCTCATTATATGATATTAATTATTTAGATTTTGGGCATTTATTGAATTTTGGTCAAAAATATTTCATCTATTTATGACTGCTTTCTGGCCATCACTCAAGCTTACAAAATATTGTTTCCCAGAGCATGTACATTAGACAAGTGTTTCAAATGTATGAAAATATGATAAATAATAAGTATAAAAATGATCAGTATAAATTGATATCAAATTACAAAAGCATATTAAATTGCAAAATATAGTAAATTATAAAATGGTATTAAATTACAAAATGATATTAAATTACAAAAATGGACTCAAACTACAGAATGACATCAAATTACAGAAGTGATGTCAAATTAAAAATATGACACATCAACACTTTTTATTCCCTATTTGTATAGTTGAAAATACCTGTATTGTCTTTTTATAAATGTCTGACATGATAGGACTAATAAAATACTCACAATTTATCATCCTTATTCATCGTATCTTTTGTAAAACTTATTTGCTCTTCCAGGTAACAATTTTAAAGTTTTTTTCATATCAATCAATAAAGCATTTTGACATTTATTTTCATAAGAGGGACAATAGACTAATGTCCTGTTTATAAGATAAATTAAATATCTCTTTCAAAGACGGGCATACAACTAAAAAAGGGAAACAAATCAGAATGTAAAAGAAACATAAATAGTCTCTCATATACGAAAGACCGGTAGGGCCATTTCAACTTCATGAATTCCCGATTTCATCTTCATGAATTCACAATTTAAACTTCGTGCATTCCCGTTTTCAAAATACGGAACTCATAAATTCACGATTCAGCTTCATGAATTCACGACTTCAACTTCACGAATTCACGATTTCAACTTCATGAATTCACGATTTCAACTTTACGAATTCACGATTTCAACTTCATGAATTCACGATTTTAACTTCACGAATTCAACTTCGTGAATTCACGATTTCAACTTCACGAATTCACGATTTCAACTTCACGAATTCACGATTTCAACTTCATGAATTCACAATTTCAACTTCATGAATTCACGATTTCAACTTCACGAATTCACGATTTCAACTTCATTAATTCACGATTTCAACTTCACGAATTCAACTTCGTGAATTCACGATTTCAACTTCACGAATTCACGATTTCAACTTCATGAATTCACGATTTCAACTTCATGAATTCACGATTTCAACTTCATGAATTCACGATTTCAACTTCATGAATTCACAATTTCAACTTCACGAATTCAACTTCGTGAATTCACGATTTCAACTTCACGAATTCACGATTTCAACTTCATGAATTCACGATTTCAACTTCATGAATTCATGATTTCAACTTCACGAATTCAACTTCGCGAATTCATGATTTCAACTTCACGAATTCAACTTCGTGAATTCATGATTTCAACTTCACGAATTCACGATTTCAACTTCATGAAATTCACGATTTCAACTTCACGAATTCAACTTAGTGAATTCATGATTTCGACTTTACGAATTCACGATTTTAACTTCATGAATTCACGATTTCAACTTCACGAATTTAACTGCGTGAATTCATGATTTCAACTTCACGAATTCACGATTTCAACTTCACAAATTCACGATTTCAACTTCATGAATTCACGATTTCAACTTCATGAATTCACGATTTCAACTTCACGAATTCACGATTTCAACTTCATGAATTCATGATTTCAACTTCACGAATTCAACTTCGTGAATTCATGATTTCAACTTCACGAATTCAACTTCATGAATTCACGATTTCAACTTCACGAATTCACGATTTCAACTTCATGAAGTTCATGAAGTTGAAATCGTGATTTCTTGAAGTTGAAATCGTGAATTTGTGAAGTTGAAATCGTGATTTCTTGAAGTTGAAATCGTGAATTTGTGAAGTTGAAATCGTGAATTCTTGAAGTTGAAATTATGAATTCACGCAGTAAAATTCGTGAAGTTGAAATCGTGAATTCGTGAAGTTGAAATCATGAATTCACGATTTCAACTTCATGAATTCACGATTTCAACTTCACGAATTCAACTTCGTGAATTCATGATTTCAACTTCACGAATTCACGATTTCAACTTCATGAATTCACGATTTCAACTTCACGAATTTAACTGCGTGAATTCATAATTTCAACTTCAAGAATTCACGATTTCAACTTCACAAATTCACAATTTCAACTTCACGAATTCACGATTTCAACTTCATGAACTTCATGAAGTAGAAATCGTGAATTCGTGAAGTTGAAATCCTGAATTCATGAAGTTGAAATCGTGAATTCATGAAGTTGAAATCGTGAATTCATGAAGTTGAAATCGAGAATTCATGAAGCTGAAATCAGGAATTCATGAAGTTGAAATGTCCCCACCGGTCTTTCGTACTCATATGCTTAACTGCTTCGTTAAAAATTGTTTAAATTCACCAGGTTTTCTTTACAATATTGAAGCCTTTTTTTAGTAAGTTTGAAAGTTGCCGTCCTTTCGCTGGCAATTAGTTGCACTGCTACAAGTCTTAATTAAGTGAATTTGTCTTGTTGTCTTTTTGGTAGCGATAATTTGCGTCGCAACAAGACAAAACATGGCAAATAAAGGGTCTTTTGCATCGTTTACAGCTTACGACGTATATAGCTTACTTATATACTTTATTTTCCTTTCGCATTATACATTCGTTAAAAATTATACAAGGATATCACTCGCTGCAACTTCTTTCAGTTCGTATTAAGTCAGAGGTTGGAAGTCCAGAAGACTTGCGGTCTCGTCTCAGATAACGACTTATAGTAGCTATAATCGTGGTCGAAATCTTCGCCGAAGGTGTCGGCGTGGTTTTAAAATGCACAGACGTGGTCGTTGTTAAGTGAGTTGTTGGTATAGTCTTCAAAGTTGTAATCGTGGCTAGGTCCATGTCGTTGAAGATAACTGCTTGCAGTCATAAAAGACGAATAAGTCGTAAGCGTGGTCTAAGGAAGTCGTGGCCGAATTTGCCGGCGTAGTCTATGGAGTTGTAGTCGTGTTTTTTTGGTTTAGTCACATACGTACTCGTAGTAATGGAAATCGTAGTTATGTGGTTTTTGTCGCTGTTCTCGGAGTAATAAGATGTGAAAGTCTATTTGGGATCGAAATCGTCGTCATTTTCGTGGTCATAGTCTACTTATGGCCGTATAATTCGTAGACGCAGGAAAGACCTTGGCCATGGCCATTGTCATTACCGTTGTCGTCGGCGTCGACGTTGTCGTCGTGGTCGTAGCCTAGGCAAAAAAAGGGTATCGAAAATGAAATTTAAAAAAAAACAAGGCCTGATTCACATTTTACCTGTCAAATGTCAGCGCGAACAGAAGTTATTTGAGACTTAAAATATATTTGCCATTTAATTTCAATCTGTCTGTCGTGTTAAAGGTGTAAATGTGCAGATATTTTCCTCATTTATTGTAAGATCGGTAAAATGTACACTCTTAACAATTATTGTTTTGTGTTAAAGGAAACAGGACCACGGCAATCTGCAACAGTAAAGAACTGAAGTCTGACGGTTCATTGTTGTATCTAACGAACCGCAATTACCCATCTGTAACTACCGGCAGTGACACGTGCTCATGTTCCATCGAGGTCAACACGTGCACATCAAATGTCACTCTTTCTATACTCGATGTAGACCTGTACCTTGACCATAGGACATGTGACCAAAACATTGAGCTAAGAGATGGAATGGGTGAATTGTTGGAAAGGTTAGACTGTGGAGGCTACAACAACAGTTTTCCGGCAAGGGAGCTAAAGTCTCACTATGTGAAAATAGATTTCATTAACAACTCCACCCAAAATCAAGAAGGCTTATTTTTTATTGGATTTGCAGGTATGGTATATTTGTTATACATAAATAATGGTATGAGACAAACTCCCCAAAATAAACTGATTTGATAAAGTTCAGAAATTTCTCGTATAAAAACAAAACAACTTACATCAAAAAGTTTCACGAAAACAAAGCGGAAATAATCGGTTCGGCAGACAGCTAAAAAAAACATCTTTAAAATGATGTAAATTGCCGCTTTAATGTACACGTTGACTCTTGAATTGAAGCCAATGGCCACCAAAGATGCCTCTATGGTTCTACCATTAGGGGTCATTATTCACAGGTGTTATAATATCATCTTGCATTTTTTGATTTCATGAAATAAATGAGCCGCGTCACGACAAAACCAACATAATGGGTTTGCGACCAGCATGGATCCAGACCAGCCTGCGCATCCGCGCAGTCTGATCAGGATCCATGCTGTTCGCTATAAGTTTCTCTACTTGCTATAGGGTTTGTAAGCGAACAGCATGGATCCTGATCAGACTGCGCGGATGCGCAGGCTGGTCTGGATCCATGCTGGTCGCAAACCCATTATGTTGGTTTTGTCGTGACACGGCTCAAATAGTTTAAGTTTTATATCACTTTCGAAAGCTTTTACCATCATTCCTCTTTCTAGCTTCTGAAGAAATTGCTTCGTTCAGTCTAAGTTGTCCTGCCAAGCAGCAAACTGTCTGTCTACGTAAGTATTTGTCCCTTTTGCCAACAGATATAGCTCATTCTGTTATACAAAATCTTAAAAAATTAATCCCTCGTAACGTCATTGAACTTCAATTTAAAACGAGATTTTTTTTTGTGATTTTAAAAGTAGTCTTTACAAATTTAAGAGATCAAAATTAAGACATTGAAGTATCATCAAAAGTTATATCAATTTATTAAGGAGTATATTCACTCTGAAAGTTAAGTTTACAGGTATTGCATGTTTTTTTTGAAAACCTAGGCTAATCAAGTTTATTAATTAACCGGTCGCTTTAACTTAGCCTATAGGGAAAACAAATATTGTATTAACTTCATATAATACATGTAGATCTACATGTATATCATAATAAATATGTTTTTATTTAAGTTCTGAATATTCTATGTTCTTTATTAAGCGTGTCACTAATCAAATGTTTGCAGAATGTGAGGACACAATCGATATTCCTCACGGAAATGTGGTACCTCATGACGTCACGAACAAAAGCGAGGGTGCCCTAGCAAACGTCACTTGTGACGTAGGATACGAGCCAGACAATCTCACTATAACATGCTTAGGGAATGGAAAATGGGAAAATGCTACATGTCGTCCGAAAGGTTCCTTTTTATCTTAAACTGACAAATATTGAGTGTTCGCAATCATTAAAACCCGGTTATATAGAAATGAAGGTCATGTAAAAATGTCTGTGACAACAGGAAGTTGAATTGAAAGTTCACAATATAGACTCGGAATGAATGTATGCAAGCCCCAAGGTTTTTGATTGGTCAGAAACCAGCGCAAAAAGTATATTAACCAATGAAAATCTTGAGATTTGAAAGTAGTTTTCAATGGCCCATATGACGATGCAATATTTAACCTGGTGATAAATGTTTTATCGAAGAAAAACTTTTTAAAGTCGGTACTTAGTATTCTGATTTTTTTTTTCAAATTATTAAATTATGAAAGTAGAGTTATGTAAATGAATATAAGGGCAGGAAGGAAACAAAATCGCCCGTATTGATCTCAGACATTCAGCTTATTCAACCATTTAAAGATATCAAGTATTTTTTATTTCTTATCTTTGCTAAACACATTCAAATCTGACCTGTATTTTGTTCTATAATCCTACACAAAAGTAAACTGTTAGTATGTTGAATATGCTGCATGGTTTAGAGCATTGAATGAGTTATCAAGTTCGCTCTAACGTCGTCAGCGGGTAGCCGTTGTTCAGTAGCTTCAAAACTTTACACTCATTGCTTGTTTTATTGGGTTTCTTCATAGATACTAGCTACTGTAATTACCTATACGTGGCTCAATATTATTTGAGCCGCGTCACAACAAAACCAACATAATGCGTTTGCGACCAGCATGAATCCATATCAGCCTGCGCTTCCGCGCAGTTTGATCAGGATCCATGCTGTTCGCTATCAGTTTCACTACTTGTAGTGTTTGTAAGCGAACAGCATGGATCCTGATCAGACTGCGCGGATGCGCAGGCTGGTCTGGATCCATGCTGGTCGCAAACGCACTTTGTTGGTTTTGTCGTGACGTGGCTCATTTTGTTTTTAATTACACTGGAATAGACTGTACCAAATTCAAGGAAAGGTAAACATATTACACAAATTTAGAAGGTAAAGTCTTTAAGGGTTACAAGAAATTGATATGACATTTAATTCTATTTAACGACTTTTTGTTGTTGTTGTCGTCGTTTTTCAGATTGCGGAAATGTATCTGTTATCGAAAACGGGAAATATAAAGTAGAAGACGATACAACATTTGGGGCCGTGGCAATTGTGATATGTAACGAAGGATACGAGTCCGACAAAAACAATATAACGTGCTTAGAGACCGGATATTGGTCTAGTTCGTCATGTACTGCCATACGTGAGTAACAATATTTTGTATTAAGATATAATAGTATGCTATTTGCACAAGTATTCCAATAAGGTATGAAGCGATGTAATTTGTTTTTCGTTTCACGTAATCGAGTGTTATTCATAGTTTTCTTTGTACAGCTAAATTGAAGATTTCCTGTTACATGTAGCTTTCAATTTGCCATTTGTTTGATAGCCTACATTTTGCCACAATAACTTGAAGTTTGCCTGAAAGCGTAAAATTTGCCATAATAACTTGAAGTTTATCTGATAGCCTACGATTTGCCATAATAAATTGAAATTTGTTTGATAGCCTACAATTTGCCACAATAACTTGAAGTTTGCCTGAAAGCGTAAAATTTGCCACAATAACTTGAAGTTTGCCTGATAGCGTTAAATTTGCCACAGTAAATTGAAGTTTACCTGATAGCCTATCATTTGCCACAATAAGATTATGTAAGTGATCGATTCCGAAATAAATTTTTCATCTTATTTTATATTTATAGATTGTAAAAGTGATTACCAAATTGATAATGGTAAAGTGTCATCAGCTGAAACAACAGTTGGTGCGATCGCCGTGGTAACGTGTAATACAGGGTACACTGCGTCTTCTCTAATTGTAGAATGTCTAAGTACAGGGGAATGGCAGGATGCAACATGCAAGAAAAAAGGTTTGTTGGGACTCGAACGTGTTTCTGCTTGCGGTAGATGAGTGCGACACTACAATCGTCCACATATTTGTGTGAAATGATATATAAATAATATCACCATCACCACTATCATCATTTTCACGATCATTATAACACTCATGATCGTTATCTTCGTTACTACCATTGTCACCAGCATCAATACGGACATCATAACTACAACATAACCAGCATGCCATCACTACTTTCATCATAAACGTATGATTGTCATCATCAATATCTTCATCATCAACGTGGTCATCGTTATCATCATCATCACCATCAAAACCAGCATAAATTCACTTCCATAATTATCAGCTTTTTATTGTCACCATTTCCATCATCATCATCAGCATCATCAGCATCATCATCATCATCATTATTATCATCATCATAACAAGCAAACGATCACTACCATCAATATCAATTTATCATTTTCATCATCTCTATCATCATCATCATCATAACTAGCATACGATCACTACCATAATCATCAGCTTAGCATGTCATTATCATCATCATCATCATCATCATCATCATTCATCATCAGGGACATCATAACTATCATAATCCGCATAATCATAAACAGCATGCGATCACTTACATCATCCGAACATATCATTATCATCATCATCATAACCAGCATTTTATAAGATCACTTCAAGCATTATCAACTTATCAATGTCATCATCAGCATCTCCATCACCATCATCATCATCATTTTTATTATCATCATCCTAATTATCATCATCATAACCAGCAAACGATCACTATCGCCATCATCAACTAATCATTATCATCATCAGCATCTCAATCATTTTCATCATCATTATCATCATTACAATCATCATCAACCTTATCATTGTCATCAATATCATTACGGACATCAAAACTTCCATTATTGTTCAAATACCATTAAAAAATAAATATCTGTAATTATTTTTAATGTCATTCACATTTTATTAATTACAGATTGTGGAAAAGTGTATGAACTGAAGAATGGTACAATAACGTTAACATCGTCTGCAACAACGTATGGTGCTACAGCCACTGTAACCTGTGATGAAGGGTTCAACGCGTCGATTCCATCGATCAAATGTCTGAGCACTGGAAAGTGGGAAAATGTTACATGCAATATAGCAGGTTTGTCTACTGATATAGTCTTACTGTAATGCTTTCCCGCCAAAAAAAAACTTTACATCGGCCAATATCGTAGCAAATCGGTTATTTCCGGAACGTTATGGTTTATCAAAATCCTTGGCAGTACATTATTTACAATCAATCAACCCTTATCGCTATGTACTAAATTCCGGATATTAACGGTTAAAAATTATTGAATACCGAAGATTGTGAAAAATAACGTTCCGGAAGTGACGGATTTATTACGATATTGGCCGATGTTAGAAATATCTTGGCGGGAAAGCATTGCAGTAAGACTACAAAGAGAGCCATGAATATGTTTCATAAGTGCTATTAAAATTTCATATCAATATAATATTAAAAGTTTAGTAAATTTAAAATTTTAAAGAACTTTATTGCGGTCAAGCCTAAAATTATAAGATTTGAAAATCTTACATATGTAAACTGGCGCAGTGAAAATGAAAAACTGTGCATAATACATAAATATACTTGGTATTGAATTGATAATCGACGTGTAGGTGATCTTTGGACCAATTTGAATGAAAAGCGTTGAAACGCTTTTCATTTTTGAACTTAATAATCCCCGGAAAACGGTGTGATTGAATAATCTGAAATTTTGTACACTTGTTATTTATCCAGACCAGAAGCCAGTTTTTCATTTTTTGTCACGTTATGTAAAATCATCAATGGAGTACCTTTAAGGTATGGTAAATGCGGTATTGCATGGCGTGATTCGGTTCTAGTACTAGAAATGCCTTTGTTTATTTGTTTATACTATATAAAACGTTTTGAATACCCTCGTATTACAGACTGTGGCAAGTTACCACAGATTCAGTATGGTAGTGTGATATTAAAGGAAGAACATGTATCAACTGTTGGTTCAACGGCAGAAGTCAAATGTCAAGACGGTTATCGGCCAAAGAAACAAATAATACAATGTGAAGAAACGGGCGTATGGGAAAGCGGTATTTGCGAATCCCATCCAGGTAAGTTAGACTGACGTACCATTTTTTCTTATCTAGCGTTTGAATGATTTTAACACATTAAAATTACCCGTTAAAATATTGATTCAACCGGCATCTCCAAATGGTGTGGGTTCGAACCTGGAAAGGTCTTTGAATTATTTAATGAGAGAAAGCCATCCAGCTAGTTTTAGAAAGGCAGATGAGTCAACTCAGGTTGGTGCTCGTGCCTGAACTAATCCATAAAGGAGGTCTTTCTCTACCAGAAATGTTGGAAAGTCGCTATTTGACCTAAACGTACACTGTTGGTCTTTAACATCAAACCCGACAAAAACAAACTATCTAAACATGACAATAAATATCACTTTATCTAGGAATGAACAGCTCTTACTCAGGGTACACAAAAATTACTATTTCTATATACAGGGGATGGAAGTAACACAGCAACAATACTTATAGCACTTTTGATAACAGCAGTTGTGTTGATTAATATAATATTAGTGGGATGTATTCTGTACAGGAAATACCGTCGACAAGGATATCTGTTTCATGCAATTGGAAAAGGGGTATGTATATAAAATCATTACAAGTGACATAGATAACAAAGAAACATTCTTTAGTCTGGAAACAAAAATAGTTCAGGCGCGGTATGTTTTAGCCTGTTTACACACTTAGTATGTAATTAATCTTAGTCTTCAGACAGCGCATTGATTTACCTAAACGAACAGTGCAGACTTACATCTGCCGACACATCCGTAAAAACTGATCATATGTGGTCTTCACTGTTCGCTATTCAGTAAGCGCATAAATTATTTGGAAAAGTTCTCGATACATTTTAGTCATATTGAATCTGTCAAGATTGATGGATGAACAAGTCCATTTATGATATTGAGCGAGGCATGTGTGAAAGAGATGCACGTTACATGAGCCATCGCTTGACCTACTTATTGGGGTCAAAGTTAACAGACTCTGTCAAATGAATAAATTATATGCAATTGCTGTACATTTTTATGTCTTGGTAGCTCTTTATATAATGTTAACATTGAATTAAATTTTTCAAGACAAAAATGCTTGAAAATATTTTATATTAATTTGGGCATATTATTACTTTACAGTCGGAGACCGTTTCTTTCAAAAATAAAGAAGATCTGCCGGAAGATGAAGGGCGTCAAAACCAAACTTTAATATTTACAAATGAAACAGACAAAAAACAAGAACTAACAAAAAGTAATTCCAAAGAATCTTTGAAGAAAGAAGAAAACTCCCCCGAAGTGAAAACGAGTGAAAATTCGAGTGTACCTGTAAAGGAAGGTGAAAAGAGTGATAATTCAGGTGTTGATGTTAAGACTGAAGAAAAGAAGCCTGACCAAGAAGCGAATGAATCAGCTGAGGTATCCAAGAGCGTTGATGAAGAGAAGAGTAATAACGTTCAAAAATCTAATGAAACAACTGCAGTTGTCGAAACCAGTGACCCTTTACAAGCCAAAAATGAGTCTAGTGAAACAAGTAAAACCGGCAAGAATGATGATCTTAAAGACGACAAAAATGGTGATGGTACAAACGAAACTAAAGATAGTGATCCTAAAGAAAGCCAAACGTCTCCTGAAAAAAGTGAAGAGAGCAAAAATGAAGAACCAAAAGGAGATCAAAAAGGTCAAGATTCTAATGAAAAAAGTGAAGTTGGCAAAAATGTGGAGCCTAAAGAAGATGCAAAGGCTGAAGAGCCGCACGGAAAAGATGAAGTTGTCAAAAATGAAGAGGAAAAAGATGGCAAGAAGGACCCAGAATCCATGGCCAGTGCAACAGGCGAGGTTTCCAAAAATAATCCCAGTGAAGGCAACACAAGTCAGGTGTCCAGTGAAACAAGTGAAGTAAGCAAGAATGACCCAGAAGTGAATGTAAAAGAGCAGGGAGCCAGTGTTACAAATGAGGTAGACAAAAACGATAATGCAAAAGGTGACGGAGATAAAATGTCGGAACCATCTAGTGCAGTAAGCGAGAAAAAAGATGCAAAAGATGGCGAATAAAGTCAATAATAATATGACAAGTGAAGAGATAGCAAAACATCAGACATGCAATCACTGATCGTATATTACATTCGTTTATTGTCCGAAATGATTAACCTGCCCATTTTGCAAACATTATCTGGTAGTAAATATTTCGGAAAATGCCTAAAAAGATTATAGTAGACAAGTGTATTCATATATTTACATACGTGATATAGATTTTTGAATGAAGCAATGAAACATTTACTTAATGTTGTGTATAGACCACGTCAATAAAATCACATTTAAATCACTCTCTTAAGAACACTCAAAACTGTTGCGAGATATGATGCATGACTTGTTAAAGATATACTATGCTCATCTTTGGATAAAATTACTTTTATCGCAGAAATTTATTGAAATATAGAAAAGTCTAGCTGAGTGTGTCTAATATGAATAATAGAATACACAAACTATGTTTTGGAAGCTGTTTTTTTTATATTTCTGGTCAAGTATAACTGGTAAAGTTAATGTGGACCTGACTTTAAAATTAAAATGCCTTTTTTTTACTGACACTATGTATTCATACTGTGTTTTCCTTCAGCATGATTAGTTCAAAACGTAACATATCTTCTGTTTACACAAAATATATTTATTGAACATTTAAAAAGACCTTTGTATCAATTATCAGTGTTTTTCAAATATCAAATATGAGCATATATATCTTTAATCGCATTTTTCATTCTTATATGTATGTTTTTTTTTTATTTTGCATTTTTAAGTGTCTTGCCATGTTTATTCAACTGATATCTAGTGTTTAAAAAAAACGTGAATAATTACAATTGTTCGCTTTGTATGTAATTTTGTTAAAAGACATTTGTTATCCTTGTACTAATCCTTTAAACATGTATACATACAATAAAAGTAGATAAATATAACAAGAACTATCATTCAGATTTATTTTAGAATGACCAGTGAGATTGCCAGATTTGAGATGACCAATGAAAATTCTTTTTATATTAAGTTCTTCCCTGTAAATTTTACAGGAAGTGAATCTGATTTTAGACGGCTTTTGGCGTAATTAGTTTGAAACCTACTAGACAAATGTGCTACTACCGCTGACTGTACGTAAATAAGAGGAAATTATTTATGTACATTAGAATCCTTTGCAATAAATACCTTAAATCCAGTCTAGCATTATCACTACTACACATTATTATGGATTCTTACACGCTTCAAACAGACAGACCATTCCAGTGCATCTCTACATGAAAATATAAAAAAATGGATGTACACGGACGGACAGACATACAGATAAGACATATACAATACACGATAAATAAACTAAACTAATACACCGTATATGAGAAATAAGACCACATCAATTTAAAGACATTACACTTAGGATAAAACAAGAAAGAGAACATTGTTGTCCTTAGAAAAGAGTAGCAAGTTAATATATGTCACAGTGTAAATTGAAGTAAGACAAAAGTATGAACATAAAACATTCAAAATAAAAGATAAATATATCATATAATAAAAATTAGGGAAAAGGCATCATTTTAAAGAGATAATTACCCCCAAAGAAAGTGACTTTTGACTGATGATTTAAACTTATAAAACTTTAATTCCATCCTTATTGCATGACGTTGCAAATTGACATGTCATGAATTGTTCCGCGTCTCGTCAGATTTCTGTATGTTGAAATGGATTAAAATCAGACGATATGCGTAGTACAATATATAGATATAAAATATTTATTAAGCATAATATAACGCATTATTTTTCGTTATTAATCACTTTGGCATATTAGGCCTTCATTACAATTTGTGATTTCGAACGGTGCATTGTTGAACAACAATACATTCATAATTGATATCAATTTCCTAAATAACACTTAAAATTAACTTTTACTACTTAAGTAGAGGATTGTCAATAAGTGTATTTACCTACTTAACTTATTGAGCTTATTGAACATAATTATAATAATTCAAATCATATAAATGATATTTTATTCAACGAAGTCGAGAAATTTATTAATGAAGTCATGCGAATAGAAAATGATATCCTATTGATCACAACCCAAAGATTCAAATAGTTTACAGTCAAATAGTTTCATTTTTATGCTTGTAGTAAAACATTAACATGACTTTTCTATATTTATATTAAGTCGTCACGTCGTACGCCCGTCCCGTATCAATTTGACGAAGATCCAAAAAACTGCTTAGGTAGGCATCATGTGATGAAAAGATTCTGATTCTACGCGAAGCTTCATCACTGAATCCAATATAACGCTTTTATATCAAAACCGATGTCAAAGGTTCAACACTAAAAGTTGTGTCGCCACAGAGCGGTTTTCCCCCAAATCAGTACAGTTTGAATGAAGGGGAGATTACTGCGTTTAGGACACCCAATGCTACAATTTATTTAAAGGTATTCTATGCACATCTTTAGAAATTAATTGAAATCTATGAAATTCTCACAAAATATGTCTAATTTGAATAAAGAATGTGCAAATTATGATTGTATGGAAAGCTGCAGTAACCATTATGGGTCAATTAAAGTTAGCCCTTTTTTAAAAAAAAATGTCAGTTTTTTATGACATTATACATTCAAATTATGTCCACCTATGGAGTTTAAAACACAACAATTCTGCTTTGTGTGAAGTCAAAACATGTTTATTCTTTATCAACATGAAGAGTGTGTAGCAATTATCAGTATTTTCAAATATCAAATTTGACCTTAGGATACCTATATTATAAACCCTAATTTTAAACAGTTCCAGTCCATACTGACTACTCTTTAAACCATGCTTGTGCTTATGCGGTACTCTCGTCAGTCAAAAAATGTTCATAAAATAAATCAAATCATTTTCTTAAATACTTTGTTGGAGCAGTACCTCTAGACGCATTTTCAGAAATCATGATCACAAAGTAGAAAAATATCGTTTTTTTTTTCGCCGATTCTTACATTTAACATTCATTACCGTATATAAATCGGTGTGTAGAGATGAATTAGAAGTTTTATAATGCGTTTTAGCGAATGCCAAGTCGAGTTTTTAACATTAACGCATTCAAGCGTATTGTCCGGTATATATTAAGTGTGGTGCTCCAACACTTGTTTCTTAAATGACATGACAGAACGTCTTCCTTTTAAAGAATTGTTAATTTTTGACAAACCTTAAGATTCTCTTACTTTACAGTTACAGTAGGCTTACAACAAGATACAAAAACACTGATTCTATTGTAAATATTTTTATTTAATTGTGCAAAAGTTATTCATTTCACACAGCTCCAGACGCTAGATATGCGCGGATGGAGACATGAGAGGTTTACTTTTATTATTTCATGGCTTTTCAAGCGTGTAACTTAACTTTGTAAATCTTTAAATCTAAAACTACAAATTCAATTCATAAACTTATGCTTTAACATATTGATTTCTTCCGGTTTCAAATATGCATTCAACTTTATTTTCTTCGTGATAAAACATATTGATTAGACTGAATGTGTACGGAGCACTGTTAGGGCCATTGTCATGAAATAATTTGAATTAGAAAAACAAGGATCAGTAATGATAATAATAATAATTACACGTGATTCAATTCAGTGCTAAAATATCAAGTCAGGGGAGGGTCCACAAAATGCTGCTAAAGGCCGATTATGCCTCAGAAATGCTTTTATTTCTATTTCTCAAAAGCTTTTATTTTAATTTTGGTGTACTTTTATTGTATCCAAAGCGTTAATCATTGGCCAATTACCAGAACCATCTTTTCATCTGTTGCTTTTTGGCAATACGTATAGTGAATTCATATTTGATATGGAGGTCAAAATGCTACTTTGTTAACATTTTGCTACTTTTATGACAAGTTATTTCACATTTATCGTTACTTTTTTCAGGTAACAAAACTCTTTCTAAACTTTCTCTAAAACCGCTACTTAATCATTACATAGAATATATGTAACAGTTATCCTTTCTAGAGCAGTAAACATTGATTTGTTTCTGATAACACATAGATTTCAAAACTTTTATAATTGTACACTGATTCATTATGTGTGTTTATTGTGATATCTTTAAGACTGTGCATATATTCATACAATGAAATATAATCACCTGAAAACATCATTAAGAGTGTATATTCTATTTTGACTGTTTCACAGTGAAATAAAAGCTTATACTTTCACTTTTACAGTAGCTGACATCTAAAATGAACATTTAATCAGGTATTCACACGAATGTCATATCATACAATATTTCTTATGGTCAGCACTTTCATCATATCCACACATAAAAATGCAATTTTGTATTCATATGGTAAGCAAAAATATACATTTTAATAAACTCATTCTCAGGGCTATAATCTCGTACATACTTTTGACATAGATTAATCAAATGTTTATGGTCTGATAATATTGTTAAATGACAATCTGTAAGAAATACTGCAAACTTATTAAGACGTAACACAAAATATTTAAACTAAGTTTACCATGGCTGAGTATTTCTTGTTTACAAATACAATTTAAATATACATGTTTGCTTTATGTTGATAGCACTTTAAAGATCCTGTAACACATTATTTTTATGGTTTTATATACAAATTATGATGCTCAAATTAAGATTTATCGATATTGTAAGTTCCAAAAAACATTATTTATAAAGATATTACCGAATTTAATATTTCATGTAAATAAAGGGGGGTAATTAGAATCTAGTTTTCTATAAATTCTAAGTCAATTTTTCCAATAAGAAATGAATGCATATAATTAATGATTACCTTAAATATGTACAAATATTTGCAATACATATTTTACATATTCTTCGATTTTTGAAAATTGACAAATTTGCATAATTACATACATATATAATTTAATGAAGAGTGGTATGCAATCTCAATTACAAAACATACAGGATCTTTAAGGACACCGTATTTACAATATTTACAACATGTAAAACGATATCTCTAATCGGTTTTTGTTAACATACACAAAACGATCGTTAAAACTGTGTCATATAGTGGCTGTATACGCCATATAGATTTATAACACGTTAGTGTTTGGATATTAACTTTTTTGTAGGACATTCAAATACAATGGCTGGCACGAATATGGCTGATATGGTCGATGCACCGTTTGAAGAGTTGGGAGCAGTTGGGGGGCTTCATGACAGTAAAGAAGAGAATTCGGTTATAAATTTGAATTTCAAGTGTGAACCTTGTCTCTTTGAAAACATTGAAAAAGAAGCAAGCACTTTTTGTACTGATTGTTCCGAGCATTTATGTGCTAGTTGTGCTCGTGAACATAGAAAGAATAAACTGTCAAGGAATCATAAGTTGTTCGAAGGTGAGGATATTTCAGATAAATTTACAACAATTGCGATAATGAAAAAGATGATGAATTGCCCAGATCATCCCGACACTGTTGTGATGTATAAATGTGAAGATCACGAAAAATATATTTGCGTTACGTGTTTGGCAGAGTGTCACCGTAA